TCGCTTTGAAACGAAGTCGACCAAATGCAAATTGTTTTCGACGCCATCCTTTGTCTCGAGATATTGCTGGACCTCTTTTCTGTTATTTCGTTGTTTATCAAGTCAAGCAGAATTCTGCGAACTCTTTTTTGAAATTTAGACTCCCCGTTTGTATCATAGCGATGAGCTTTTCCTTTGTCAAAACCATTTGAATCTTCTTATTTGGTTGACTTGAAGTGAGTGTAATTACTTGTTGAGTCGTAGTAGATGTTCTTTGTAGAAGAACGATTGGTTGATCGTCTTTGATATGAAGTTGTTGTTTGACTTTCATCAACAACGTGCTTTTGTCGACGCACATGTCATCAATGAAAATTTCGTGATTTCTCACTTCGACTTGCATTGATTGTGTCTCCGTTAAAATGTCCAAGAGGACACTTTCTTGATTGAATAAATGTGGGACACAAAACACGTTTAACGTCTCAAGCTCGGTAACAAGTGATTCGGCAAGTTGGATGTTTGACATGATTATGTAGTGATGCAATTTTAGTGTTCTTGTGTTGAAATGACTTTTATTTGCTCACAATTAAAATGATAATAACTCAAAACAACAGAATCATATGATTATAATTCAATAACATCATTCATGCAATGTAATGGAATAAGTTTGCGTCTTGGTCATCTCGAAGAATGTACTCCTTCTCAATCAAATATTCAATCCCCTTCTTCATGGTCTTCACCTCAAATCCATTCCCAAATGTGGTGACACTCTCCTTCGTAAGGTCATCATACTTCATATCTTTCTTCTGCTTCATTAACTTCGTCAAGAAACAGATAACTGACGTAAAGACCTTTTCTTCTTCCTCCTCAGTCTTCTCTTCTTTGTGCTCTTTCTTCTTGTTTTTCCTTTCGATTTTGTCGAGCAAAAAGTCGTCGATGGATTCGTTGCCGGTGAGGCAAACTCGTTGGTCACTATTGATTGCAACTAATCCACTTTTCACTAATGTTCTGAGGTGTGGCATAAAACACTCTAATTTGTCACTAATCGCTTTTTGTAATTCAACGACAGTATACTCACTCCCTTTTCCCTCTTTGAGTGACATCAGATGGATCATTAAATACTGAATGTATGACACAGTCACTTTCTTCTTTTTACCACTCACTTCATAACTTAACACAACTGACGAGTTGAGCTTGTCCATCTCAAGACGCCTCTCTTGGTGCCTTGCACAGTACCACGACACAAACTTCTCCCACACCCTTTTGATCTCATCACTGAGGATAACATCCTCGTAACTCTCGCTGTTCGTGACAAGAAATTTGGAGAATACAGTCACACCCATTTTAACAGAGGGGTGTTCCTTTTCTTTGAACTGTTGTGTCATTTCCAAAGACAGTGTAGTGTCGCTCAGTATTTTCTTCAGTCGCTGTGATAGTGCATTTCCAAAGTTCTTGCTGATTTCATCGACAACTTTAGTCTCGACTCCCATACTCTTTGACGTCCCTTCAACAATTCGTTTAATTAACAGTTTCTGGTAAATCGCAATGAAGTTTTCTTTGCTTGGGAGGTACATCGCAAGGTCGATGACTTCTCCCATCTTACTTAGAGCCATTTCTTCACTCGCAGTAGTAAGTACCTTCTGGGAGTAACTCCCCATTATGGCCTCTACAGTCTTTTCCTCCCCTTTCTCTTTAAAGCTGCTTCGCGAGAGACAGTTCTTCATCGTGTTACTAACACATTCGACTAAGTAGACATTCCCGTAGAAGTACGTTCTTTTCATGTGTTCTGCCTTCTCCTTCATAGCAATTAAATAATTCATGGCACCCTCAACACTCCCCGTGGTCTTCTCACTTTCTTTCTCTTTGTCGTCGAAAAGTCGCTTGAAAAACTCGCGCGTGATCTCCACAAAAGGAGTCGCCTCCTTCGGCCCATCAAACAATTTGCTGATCACAAGTATCTCCTTCTCCTTATTTCCTTCAAGAAGTTCGCGATATGAACTCACGACTTTTGGCGATATTTGATCGATGATTTCCATATGAAGTAAATTGGTCATTGGCAACTGCATATTCGGCAACAGAGCCTGATTAATCATCGAACGCTCGTTATCGACGAACTTGATGAGCTGATTGAGCAACTCTGAGACGTTTAATTTGTCGAGTGTGGCTAAGAATGCTCTGTAATCTGTCAGCGCCTGTTCCTCGTTCTTTCTTTGAAATGATTGGAGGTGGAAAGCGAGTTGTTCGTCGAAGTGGAATTGGAGAATTGAAAGAATTGCGTGGAGGTCGTTTGTTTTGAGTTGTGCGGAGAACCTTGCGGTGCTAATGAGTGATACAAGCACATCAAAGATCTTAACATTGACAACGAGTTTCTCAAAGAATGTTTCTCTGAACGTGTGTTTAAGTACAGATTTGACAGTTGCGTTCACCCGTTGGTGTGGGCAATAGTCAAGACAACTGAATACAAAGAGGAGGTACTTCCTGACATTTTTCCACTCATCAAATTGCTTCTGGAGAAGTGTTGGAATAAGCTCTTGCTTTGTTTTCTCTAACACAGCAAACTCCGCGTTTAAAAAAGTTTCAAGGACCACCTCCAACTTTTCAAGACCATAGTCTGCAGTGTATGAGATGTCTTCGAAACACGAGTATATTAGAGAGTGCGTGTTATTGATTAAAGTGATTGAAACTGAACCCTTGAATAGGGAATTGAAAAAAGAAGTCAACTCGACAAATAAAGTGTCGATGCGTGTCTTCTCATCAGTGGTGATCGTTGACATGATTGGGTGTGGACTTTTTTAGTTGGCTTTTTCTTTCACTTTTTGATATCCACTTTGGTATTAGTTTTGATGATTCTTTTTCTTGGAAAGTATAGTATTTCAACATCTGAATTGTATCAAAATTTTGGCATTTTTTGTGGATATTGGTTCATTTTTTAAATTGTAATTATTTTTCTTTTTTATTTTTTATAGATTGTCTATAATTCATTTTACTATAATCAATTGTTTTTATTAATTAATGTTTTAATAAGAAAATAATTGGTTAAAATGATTATTTTTCTTTTATAATTTCATTAATTACTTCACCTATCTAAAACTATGGCATTATTGGGGTGTTTTTGTTTGACAGTTTGTGTCAAGTATTGTTTCCAAAAAAGGCTTTTGGTAATTCAAATCAATAGTTAAATTATAGTAAAAATTAAATAAACAATAGTACATGTTTTCCAAAATACTCTTTTTTTGTCATTAGTTTTTGTAAATCCAACCTGACATACACAAATAGTTTATTTGGGATTGATGTATTTTTAAATAATACAATATAATCTATAAAACTATCAATAATATATTATTTATATTTAATTACTATTATATTATAGATAATTATTAATTCATTAAAACTATTTTATTGTTTTTTTTTAATAATAACAAAGTTACAAATCTTTTGAATAAAAATAAAAGAAAAAAATATATATTTTTTATTTGTTTTAATTATAGTTAATTATTAATAAATTATGATTTAAAATAGTATATAATTGTTTCAGAAGAAGAAAATTACACTTTAAAAAAAACTATAATATTATAGTATTAAATTATAAAAAAAATGTTATAATTTAACATATAAAACGTTTTTACATCTAAACATATTATAAAACAAATTCTATTTATAATTAATTATATTTTCCATGTGTTAATAAGGTTGTACTTTTTGATGGATTCTTTTAACACAACCCCATCATCAGATGAGTCGTTTAAATCTGTTTTTGGTGTTTCGTAGTACCTTTCCCCTGATGTTATAGTTATGTTGTGCTCGTCATTAAAGAAAAAGACGTCATTGATTGGAGCATCTAAGTGTCAGACTTGAGTTTTCAAGTAATCTTCAAACAACAAACAGGAGAGACAGAGAGACTTGATAAAGGCAAACGTCTTTGTGTTGTAAAAATAGAGATTGCCATTATCATTTCCAGTCACAAGTGTGTTGTTTATGATATCAAATCCGATGCGTTGATTTGTCGAAGCGGACCGTACGAGGAGCGCGACGGGATTTGCAAAGTTTCTGAAATCGAAGACATACATCTTATCATCTTTCCGTGTTGCGACAAATAGTATGTTATCGTCGAACACTCTGAGCGCTGTGATCCCTTTCTTTAAGTCGATTTTGTTGTACACCTCCATCTCATCTCCGCCAACAACAGATAAGTATCCGTCATATGAGCCACACGCTAAAAAATTTGATGACCCAAATTTTGCAATTGAACTGACTGCGCCCATCTTGAGGCGTTTTGATGTGACAGGCTCTGAATAGTCGATTTTGTACTTAAAAAGAGTCGAAGAGTGATACGTGTAAAACCCCGTTTTGTTGTCGTAAATAGTTGAGTTTGATGTTGGAAGAGGGTTGTATGAAAGAGTGGGTTTTGTTTTCAACGCACTTAAAAGTTGAATTGGTTGCGAGTGTTGATGTGACAAGAGTCCAAATTGTGTTGGGACAATTGATGATACTGTCGGCTTTATTGATGTAATCACTGGGTTTGTTAATTGGAAGTTTTCCAGAAACTGACTCGTTTGGATTTTGTTGTCATCAGTTATGGTAATAATAGAGTTATTATATATCACGCTTCGGAGTGGTGGAGATGAGAGGACGATATTTGAGACTACCTGTGGTTGTGTTGTGAGCATTAAATATTATAGTTTTTTAATTATACAACAATAAATAATTAATATTAATAAAACAATAACTATTAATTTAACTATTAATTTAACTATTAATTATAATATATGTTTATTACATTAGAACCTCTTTCATCATACATTGTTTTTGAAATAGCACATTGATTGAAAATATTTAATTCACCAAATATAGATGCTCCGATATATGCCTCGATTTTTGTGTCAGGCATTGTTATTGTTTGACATTTTATATATTGTGTCACTAATTTTTGTAATTCATTTTCAAGTCTTTCAGACAGATTTGGTAACAAAGAAGACCCTCCAGACACCACTATATTTCTTAAAAAAGTTGATCTACAGTCGACATCACTTTTCATAATCGAGTTATATACCATGTGATGAATACCTAACCCTTCTTCTCCAATTATAGAAGGTTGAAAAAGTATTTCAGCGCCAACGAAAAGTTCTTTTCCAATTTTGATTTTTTGTCCATCTGGCAGTTGAAATGTACTTTGGACGACTTGTAATTGGTTTAGCACTTCTTGATTGAAATTCAAAGACACGTATCCAAATTGCTCTTTAATCTCTCTTGCAATGTTCTTACCAACGTGTTTTATATGAAAAATTTCATTCACGTGTTTCAATTGTTCCAAAATAAAATCGGTTATTTCACCACCACCAATTGGACTTGTAGTAATAGCGTGATGAAGAGGAGTACCTTCAAACAAAGGAACACATTGAGTCACTCCATCCCCCATTTCTAATACAAGAGCTGATGATATCCCCGATGCATATAATGAAAATGTGCTTTGTTGTCCCATGAACATACCAGCAACTCCAAAATCTTCAAACATAATTTGAGCCGTCTTTTCTTTGTGTTGTTTTGGGTTCAAAGCACTTTCAGTCACAATAATTCTTTGCTCAGAAGGGTAACTCCGCAACTCTTCATTTTATGTGTGTCTCCATATTTCAATCATGTCATCAAAGTTTGTGATAAGTCCATGCTTAATTGGACTTGTAATATCAAGATATGGTTTGTTAATCGCATCATCACCCACAAAAATTTCTTTAGAGTTTCTGCTGTGAATTTCACTTGAAATTTGTCGACCAACTACTGTCGGAAAATACGCCCGTGGATTTTCATTGCCAGAAAATCCCGCCTTTGTAATTAAAGAGCCACAGTCGAGTACAATTGCAGGGAATTCATTATCCATTTTCAATTCAATTCTTCACTATTAAAGATCTTAATAACTGAAAGTTTTTAAACATCATATATCGAATTCATTTGTCAATTGATGTATTTATAAGTATAGTCTAACGAAAAAACCTTCTGAAACCATTATTGATGGTTTTTTATAAGACCAATTTTAGACTGCAGAAAGTAAAATTTCAAATTTCTATGGAAAAAATAAAAAATATTTGAAGTTAAAATAATACCATCAAAAATAGTTTAAAATATTAATAATTGTGGTTGTTTTTGAAAAACAATCTCTAGAAGGCTGTTTCGTTGCAGAAGGTTGATTCGGCTGACTGTAACAGATTTCTTAACAAACACAGTTATTTACTTCTTTTGGGTGACCCTATCGCGTCGTCAACTTCTTTCTTAATAATCGACATTTCTAACTCAGTGTCATGCAATTCTCCAGTGAGTTCAATTTGTTTCCCAATGATCGTGCTGAGGGACTTTCTCTTAGTTGAAGGCTTCTTGAAATTTTCAAACAGTTTCGTTGGTGTTGTTTCTTCTTCTCTTTTGTATTTACGATTCACCACACACATCTCCTTCTC